AGTTCAGCCTGATCGGTAAGCTCCACGTCTTTCGGAGTTGCCAGGTCTAGAGTGTTGTGTACATCTTATGTATATCTGTATATATGTTATGGGTAGGTCGGGGCCCTGTTCCGATCATAGTACATCTATCAGTAGAGGCTTGTAGACATATCCTGTTGGTTAGTGCAGTATGTTGGGTTTGTAGGCCTGGTATGTATAATTTGGTGGTTTGTCAGCTGTAGTAGCTATGACGGCCTTTTCAGCCTAGCTTTATATTGATGTTTAGTTAGCGCTAGTTTCCATTCAGTTTTATATTTTGCTTCGCAAATTGTCTTGCAAGGTGGCCCCATGGCCAAAGTATGACATTATGTGTTCAGAGTCCCTTAGTCTCAATTTGGTACGCCAGGTTAGGTGAGGCACCGGGTACTTGTCTCGCTCCTAGGTTCGGGGCGTGACAAATACAAACAAGAATATCATAATATCAATAGAAGACTTAATCAACATCAAACCTCAATTTAGGATCAAGAAAGTGTTCAAATAAATTTCCATATCTCACATTGGGAGATTTTTAGTATCGATATACTATTGTTCACAATACCATTATTCATAATACCAGTACCACCGTACTCTCAACACGGAGTCCGATCACGACCTGATCGGCTAAGCTATTTCATTATAGACAACAACCACAATTACTTTCAATATCAATACCACCATCTTTAACACGGAGTCCGATCACGACCCGACCAGCTAGGCTGTCCATTAGGGACATCGACCACAATTACCATTTCAATTACAATTTCCAGCACAATCACCACCATGTGTGTGACATGGTGCCCGATCACCACCCGATTGGCTAGGCTGTCTTATTTGAGACATCAAACTTTTTATATGAATCATCGCATTTCATACTTCTTTTACATCTTTACATTTTATTGTACTAATGGCCATAATTATATAATCAGTCTTGTCACGTTGACCGTATTTAGTATTTCATGCTCACCTTTTCACTTTCAAACATCAACATCATCATTACCAACAACAACAATTCAATTCAAGGTGTGTAGTACACATGTGAGTAATTAAGAGTCTAAGACACATAGAGATATTGCATAAAATTTGGCATAATAGCCTTCGTTTGAACTTGACTTGAAGTCGAAACATTATTAATGCACAGCCCATACTCGAACACATCCTCAATTGATAACATAACATGAATAAAGCATTCAGGATACTTACAGAACATATAACTCTCAACCCAATCTTACTCAGAATAGCCAATTTTATAATGAACCACTCGGGACTTACATAATTTATATGAATATCGTGGGATTCAATTCTAATAGAAGAGTTTAGCTAACATACCTCAATCGAGCTTCCTTAAATTCTAAAATGTTCCGGAATTATTAGCAACTTCAATCTCTAGGATGAAGACCTATTGAGTTTCCCTTATTAATCTTCCAACATTTGAGCAAGAATTGAAGAACAATTATTGAGGAACACCTTCTCACTCTAAGGCACTCTCTCTCACTCTAAAATGTCAGATTTTTGCTCAAAAATTGGCCAAAGCATTTATTTAACGAAGTAGGATCGAGTTTTAAAAACCCAAAAATGGAGCTCCGGAACAAGGTCTGCGATCGTATAATCGATATACGGACCGCATATTGGTCACATAATTGGTGTTCAAAACTGGCAAAAATCTGCCTGGGTCTGTGGTCACTATGCGACCCGTAGACCTGTTCTGCAGTCGTATAATGAACCGCAGAACAATTCTGGGGTTGCATAGTCGACCGCAGAATGGCATCCAAACTGACCCTCTTCTGCCTCACTTCTGTGGCCATTATGCGGCCCGCAGAGTGATTATGCCATCGCATAATGGACCACAGAAATGCATTTTGCTGCCAAAAGTTTTCCTTTACTTTCCAACGTATTGTTCAACCCAAAAAGTCCAAGCCGTAGCGAGCAAGCTCGCCACGAAGAATTTATACAATCCTCAAACATGTAAGTCCAATTTAGCACCACGAAACATTATTTCCTTTTTCAAAATTTTACGAGACCTTACATTCTCCCCCACTTAGGATCATTCGTCCTCGAATGAGGGTCAAAATCTGTTATTAGCATCAAATGTGGCCCAACTATTAATTCCCACACACCAACAGTTTCAAAATTTGGCTAACTCCCTAAATTTTCAAAAATTTTGCCAGAGTCTCCCCTGTAACTGGGCCTATCCACCTGTCAGAGAACCCCAGAAACACCTCCTAACAACATATACATAATCCAGCGACGTAACATAACACAAAACAACACCAACTGCGGCCTTACAAGTAATTATATAACCATAAAAGGAACACCCTTAACATCAACGGTAAAAAGGATACATAATTCATAGAAAGTAACTCTTAGCATTTTCATAAAGCACAACTCATAAATACATGGTCATTAAAAACAAATAAGGATACGTTTTCTTCATTTCTTCCTCGGCCTCCCTAGTAGCCTCTTCAACCTGTTGGTTTCGCTATAGCACTTTCACGTATGCCATTTCTTTATTTTTCAACTTTCGGACTTGCCAACCAATAATAGAAACTAGAATCTCTTCATAAGTCAATTTCTCATTAACTAAATAGTCTCAACCGGAACAATGAGTGTCAGGTCTCCTACTATTTTCTTCAACATAGACACATGAAACACCGGGTGTACTAATGACATCACAGGTGGTAGCTCAAGCTTGTACGCCACCTCACCGATCCACTGAACGATTCTGTATGGTCCGATATACCTCGGACTCAATTTCCCTTTCTTACCAAATCGCATTACACCCTTCATGGGGGAAACTTTCAAGAATACCCAATCATCTTCTTTGAACTCCAAATCCCTACGACGAACATCCGCATAGGATTTCTGACGACTCTGAGCAGTCTTCAAGCGCTCCTTAATGATTTTAACTTTTTCCATAGCCTGATGCACAAGGTCTGGCCCTATCAACTCTTCTTCCCCAACTTCGAACCACCCAATGGGAGATCTACATCTGCTACCATATAAAGCCTTGAACGGTGCCATCTAAATGCTAGCATGATAGCTATTGTTGTATGCAAATTCTATAAGTGGTAAATGATCATTCCAGCTACCTTTGAAGTCTAGAACACAAGCGCGCAACATATCCTCAAGCGTCTGAATAGTTTGCTCTACCTGCCCGTCAGTCTGCGGGACCTCCAAATTCTAATAGTTCGAAGCATGGAAATGTGAAATACCAGATGTACCCTTGCTAGGCTAGGATGCAATACGAGCCTATAAGAAACCTCCCTAACTCTCTCTAAGATCTCAAGCGTGCCAATAAACATCGGGCTCATCATTACTTTCTTCCCGAATCACATCACGCCCTTCATGGGTGACACTCGGAGAAGAACCTTCTTACCCACCATGTATGCCAAATCTCGAACCTTCCGGTTTGCATAACTCTTCTGGTTGTACTGAGCTGTAAGATGTCGCTCCTGAATCACCTTAAACTTCTCCATAGCATTACAGACCAAATCGGTGCCCAACGATCTAGCCTCTCCGGGCTCAAACCAACTAATCGGTGAACGACATCACCTCCTATATAAGGACTCATACGGAGCCATCTGGATGCTCGACTAAGAGCTTTTGGTTTAGGCGAACTCCGCCAAAGGTGAAAATGGGTCCCATGAACCTCCAAAGTCTATAATACATGCACGTAATAACCTAGACTGCATCATATTTCCTCAAGGTCCATGGTAAGACTACCACAAAATCCATAGTGATGCGCTCTCATTTCCACTCCGGTATCTCCAATCTCTGAGTCAATCCTCCCACTTTCTGATGCTGGTACTTTACCTGTTGACAATTCAAACTCCGAGAGATATAAGCAACAATATATTTCTTCATTCTCCGCCAGCAATAGTATTGTTTCAAGTCACGGTACATCTTCGTGACACTTGGGTGAATGGAATAGCGTGAACTGTGAGCCTCATTAAGGATCAAGTCTCTCAACCCATCAATATTTGGAACAAAAATTTAGCCTTGAAGCTGCAGAACACCATTATCTCATATCACAACCTCTTTGGCACCACCCCACTGCACCGTATCCTTTAATACCAACAAGTGAGGATTATCAAACTTGCCAGTCTTGATACGCTCCAACAACGATGACTATGCTACAACACACGATAGAACCCGGCTAGGCTCCGAAACATCCAATCTCACAAATACGTTGGCCAAAGTCTATAGCTCCATGGCTAGTGGCCTCTCAACTATAGGTAAATATGCCAAACTACCCATGATCTCAACCTTCCTACTCACTACATCGGCCACTATATTAGCCTTCCCTATATGATATAATATTGTTAAATCATAATCATTAAACATCTCTAACCATCTTCACTGTTGCAAATTAAGGTCATTTTGCTTGAGCGGGTGCTGGAGACTCTGATGGTCGGTGTAGACCACACATGGAACGTTATATAGGTACTGCCTCCAAATCATTAATGCATGAACAATGGCTGCCAACTCTAAGTCATGCACATGCTAATTCTTCTCATAAACCTTCAACTTCGAGATGCGTAGGCAATCACCCTACCGTCCTGCATCAATATCGTGCCAAGCCCAATACGCGATGCATCATAATACATGGTATAAGATCTCGAACCTATAGGTAATACCATTGTTGGGGCTGTAGTCAATGCAGTCTTGAGCTTTTGAAAGCTCTACTCACACTCCTCAGACTATCTAAAATGAGCACCCTTCTAGGTCAACTTCGTTAACGGGGCTAAGATAGATGAAAACCCCTCCATGAACAGGCGATAGTAATCCGCCAAACCCAAGAAGCTCCAAATCTCCATAGATAAAGTAGGTCTAGGCCAGCTCTAAACTGCTTCAATCTTCTTAAGATCCACCTTAATGCCCTCGGAAGATATAGCATGGCCCAAAAAGGCAACCGAATCCAACAAGAATTCACACTTTGAAAACATGGCATATAACTGGCGATCCCTCAAAGTCTGAAGTACGATTCACAAATGTTTATCATGCTCCTCTCGACTGCGGGAGTAAACCAAGATATTGTCAATGAATACAATCACAAATGAATCCAGATAGTGCTTGAACCCACATCTCATTAAATCCATAAAGGCTTCTAGGGAATTAGTCAAGCCAAATGACATCACTGAGAACTCATAGTGATCATATCGAGTCCGAAAAGCTGTCTTAGGGACCTTTGATGCCTCAATCTTCAAGTGATGGTAGCTAGACCTCAAATCAATCTTCCAAAATACCTTGGTTCCCTGAAGCTTGTCAAATAAGTCATAAATCTTTGGCAACAGATACTTGTTCTTGACACTGACTTTGCTCAGCTGTCTGTAGTCAATACACATTTTCATAGAGCCATCTTTCTTCTTCACAAATAACACCGGTACACCCCAAGGCTAGACTCTAGGTCTAATGAATCCCTTGTCAAGCTAATCCTGCAACAGCACCTTCAATTATTTTAACTCAACTGGGACCATACAATATGGTGGAATGGAAATGGGCTGGGTGTCCGGAACCAAGTCAATGTAGAAGTCGATATCTTTTTCGGGTGGCATGACCAAAAAGTCTATAGGAAACACTTATGGGAACTCATGCAAAACCGGAACTCATCCATGGAAGGAACCTCAGCACTAGGATCACGAATATAGGCCAAATATGCCAAACACCCCTTCTCGACCATACGTCGAGCCTTCACATATGAAGTGAACCTGGTAGTGGAATGACCAGGAGTCCCTCTCCACTCCAATAGAGGACACACCGGCATGGCTAACATTATATTCTTGGAATGACAATCCTTAATAGCATGATAGTGTGACAATGAATACATGTCCAATATCACATCAAAGTCCACCATATCAAGTAATAGAAGGTATACCCTAGTCTCATATCCCCCGATGGTGACCATACAAGCATGATAGACCCGGTCTACCACAATAGAATAATCCACAGGCATAGACACGTAAATAAGAGCACTCAAAGAATCAAGAAACATATCCAGATATGAAGCAAAATAGGATGACAGTAAGAATAAAGGGAATCCGGATGAAATAAAAATGATGCATCTTCATGGCAAACTGGAACAATACATGTGATGACCGCATCCGACAACTCTGCCTCAGGTCTAGCTGGAAATGCATAGCAATGGGGCTGAGCCCCACCATTCTGACCTCCGCCTCTTGGATGGCCTCTAACTTGATGGCCTCCACTTCTTACGCCCTGACCACCACCTCGGGCTACCTGACCCTACCCTCTAGGTGGCTGAGCCGGTGGTGGAACAACCGGTGACAGAATCATGGCACGAGTACCTTGTTGTGTCCTTTTGCTCCTCAATCTATGATAGTACCTCTTGATATGACCTGCATCGCCGCACTCAAAGCAACCCCGTGGCTAGTCTAACTACTAAGTCTAAGATGATACCTAATGACCCGAATGACCACCGTAGTAAGACTATAGCGGTGGTGCACTAAAAAGAGCTGAAGGTGTGCTGAATACTGCTTGCTCAGGATGAGACCCATAAGAACTACGAGTACCCGATGCACCGTATGTTACCTGAAGCGTTGAATGAATCGGCCTAGGAGGATGGACTCTACCAAATGAACCCTTGCCCCGAGATAAGGCACCACTAAAACCACCAAAATGATGAGGCCATTTCTTAGACGCTGCCTCTCTACCTTGACCACGAATCCTCTCGATTCACCTAGCAATCTCAACAACCCAGTTGAAAGAAATATCATCATCAGTCTCTCTGGACATCTATAGTCTGATACCATAAGTACGACCATCTATAAATCTCCTCACCCTCTCCCTCCCAGTAGGGATCAAGACTACTGCATGGCGAGATAGGTCCACAAATTTGGTCTCGTACTAGGTAACAGTCAAGCTACCCTATTGGAGGCGCTCTAACTGGCTGTGGTAGTCCTCTCTCGGAGTGAAAGGGATGAACTTCTTCAAATATATCTGTGAGAACTGATCCTAAGTGAGTGGAGGCGAACCTGCTGGTCTGCCTCGAACATAGTCCTGCAGAACAAGTCATCTGAAACACTATGAAGTCGACTCTATTGGACTCCACTATACCCATATTGCGTAATACCTCATGGCAATGGTCCAAGTAATCCTGTGGGTCCTCAAAAGGTATACCACCAAAACGTATGAAATAGTTTGGTGAACTTATCCAACCTCTTCTGCCCCTCGGACAACATATCGGGTCCCTCCCTAGTCTCTGTAGCAATAATAGGCTGAACTGCTCTAATGCCGAAACTACCGGAGTCTAATACCCGTGTGCAACCTACTTTGGTGTGTGAATGGCTGGAGTTTGGGCTCATCCCCTAGCGTGAGAGATGACTGGTCCAATAGGAAATGCAACGGCCTGGGCCACACTCTCAATAAGACCTACCAGACGGACTAGAGCGTCCTAAAGTACTGGGGTGGCAATGAACCCCTATAGGACCTGAGCTGGTCTAACTGGCATGGCTGAAGCATAGATCCTCCTTGTGCTCAATCTAAGGGACTACGGTAGGTGTTGTTGCACAGGCTCTAGGCTGAGCTCTACCTCTGCCTCTTGCTCGACCCCGACCTCTACCCCTGGTAGTGGCTGCAACTTGGGGCTCTGGCTCCTGCTCGGATGTGGATGTTGAGCGTGTCCTCACCATCTACGAGAGAACAAGAATAAAATGGTTCAAACTTCTGCGATAGAATTAAGTCGCACGATTGAGAAAGAAAGAAGTGAAATTTCCTAAAGCCCTATAGCCTCAAGAAGATAAGTACAGACGTCTCTGTACTGATCCTCCAAACTCAACTAAGCTTGATCATGACTCGTGAGACCTAGGCAATCTAGAAGATAAGTACATACGTCTCGGGTCTGCTTAGTCGAAATCCAATATTCAGACCAAAACACGATTACCCCCTAATTTCAACCATAAAATTCCAAGATTTGATGTTAAAAACTCATGAAAAGTAATGGGGAATGGATAGAAAATGAATTAGAGTTGGTTGCCAATGACGTGTGGAAGAAAAAGTTCTTAAACAATAGCCTCTAGCATGTTTGGGGCTGAGAAATGAAGTAAAATGAGCTATGTTCCATTTCCCCCCTCTTTTACCAAACTCCGGGTATTGCAATTTTTTGCAATTGCAACGCCTGCAAATGCGAACATTTGTCTGTAAAAGCAAACTTTGCAATAGTCCCTTGGTGTCGTATATGCAACATAAAACATCACATTTGCGATGAATCCATACTCACAAAAGGGAGACATCCATCACATTTGCGAAATCCATCCAGCCTAGATTGCAATCGCATTTGCTACCTCTCGAATCATAAAAGCATATCACCCACTTCGCATTTGTAACAGGCACTTCACAATTGCAAAGATCACAACCCCCTACCCAAATATTGCATTTGCAAGTCCAACAACACAAAAGCGAGACTCACAATTACGAAAAGGACATCACAAATGCGAGACCTGCACACATGAAGCACAAGCTGAGGCACCAGCAATCCAAAACCTTCCGAATTAGATTCAAACTCACGCGAACACCTCAGCCTCCAAACCGATCATGCACATAAGTAAAATAACATCATACAAATTTGTTCGCTACATCAAATCATCAAAATAACATCATATAACAATAATCGGTCATCAAAACTCAAGAATTTTCAACATAAAACTCATTTTAACCTTTTTTCACATAATGCATTGAAATTCACTCTAGTCACATAGGACCGCAACCAAAAGTGCGTGCAGGTCCAAAAACATCATACGAACCTATCAGAATCGTCTAAATACTTATTTGAGATTGTTTACCATGAATGTTGACCGTAGTCAACTCAAATCTCATTTTAAGGAAAAAAATCACTTTTTCATCAATTTTTTACATAAAAGGTTTTCGAAAAAAGATGCACACCATGCACAACAAATCAAGAAAAATTAAATGGAGCTAATAGAGGTCTCAGAAGACATAAATTTAGGCTAGTGCTCAAAACGACCTATCGGGTCATCACATAAGGCCTTAAGTGGTTAATTTTAGAGGGAAATCAGATTATTTTATAGAGAGGGAACCAATTTAGAGAAAGAGGAAAAAGCTCCAAGCCTACTACACTTCAATTCCTTGCTCAATCTTGGAGATTCAAGGAGGATACTCACAACGTCTTCAACTAACCAGGTAAGATTTCATCCCTATGCTTTCATGCAAGGTTTTGTGATGGGTTTAAGTAAGATTTTATTATTTTTGGGCTCATGGGATGGTGATCGGAAGCCATAAGTTCTCAATCTCAAATTTGTGTGTATGTAAAGAATGGGAGACGTGATTCTTGAATTTGGAGTAGACGATTGGGTATGCATATGTCTGTGGAGCTTGTTGGGTGTCCTAGAACTATGGTGGATGAATTGTTGACTGGCAAATTGGTTGTGGGGGTGAAGAAATCCCATTTTATTGAGTTGTAGTGAAGTATGTACACTATGTGTTTGATGAAATTCCTATATGACCTAGACTATGAACGCCCTTCTAATGATGGTTAAATTTGATTATGTTGCTCTAGATTGAAGTGTTTTGTGCAGCAGAACATTGTAGGAATCCTAAAGAAATCTTAATAAGGTATGTTGGCTAAATTCATTATATGGAATCGGATTCCATGAATTCCTTTTAAGTTCCAAGCATGGTTTGTTCAAGCTCTTGTTCCTATTGTTCTGAATTGCTTGCAATGGTTGATTTATCCAAATGCTTATGTACTCAAGTCATGTTCCAATTACCCTTATCATATTATGGTCCCATTTGGGAAAATGTTTCAAGTATGATTGTTGTATCAAATGCTTATGATTTAAATTCATGTTTCAATTGCAAATTTCTATGCTCCCCTTTTGGAAGTAATTCAATGTGATTAAGGCTATCATTACTCATATATTTTAAAGCAATGATTATCCAATATTTTACATATCATGGATGTTTTATGATGACCCATGGAATGTGAAAGTTAAAATATGAAATGTGGCCATTTGTGCCAAATGATAATGATGATGTATGTCCCAAAGGAGAGATGGAAAAAAGGATTTTATGAAGTGTTTAATGTTTAATATTTTTGGGAGTATCGTTAGGTCACCGAGGAAAATGTATGTTGTAAATGACTGAGCCCGAAACTGCACGTGCCAGTGTAGGATATGAATGGGGGAAAAATTCCCTTACTACAATGATGAGATTATTTTCCCTTAATTGTGATGAACTAATTGCTAGCAAAGACCATGTCGACCCACATGGAATTGTGGTGAGACGCCCTAGACCATCGGGCCAAGATCAGATGCCATGAGCGCATAGGGTGATTTTGCAGTACCACGTCAACCCACATACATTGGGGTGA